TTAAAGAGTGAAGCTTATCCCTAGTTTGTAAGATCTTATTGTAGAGTGAAGCTTATCCCTAGTCCGTAAGATCTTATTGTAGAGTGAAGCTTATCCTAAGGATGTAAGATCTTATTGTAGAGTGAAGCTTATCCCTAGTATATAAGATCTTATTGTAGAGTGAAGCTTATCCCTAGTCCGTAAGATCTTATTGTAGAGTGAAGCTTATCCTAAGGATGTAAGATCTTATTGTAGAGTGAAGCTTATCCCTAGTATGTAAGATCTTATTGTAGAGTGAAGCTTATCCCTAGTCCGTAAGATCTTATTGTAGAGTGAAGCTTATCCTAAGGATGTAAGATCTTATTGTAGAGTGAAGCTTATCCCTAGGATGTAAGATCTTATTGTAGAGTGAAGCTTAGCCTTCGTATGTAAGATCTTATTGTAGAGTGAAGCTTTTCCTTCGTATGCAAGATCTTATTGTAGAGTGAAGCTTATCCTTAGTATGTAAGATCTTATTGTAGAGTGAAGTTTCCCCTCCTGCGTAAGATCTCACGTTCCGTCGACTATTGCAAATGAATCAAACGAACACAGACCGTCTGCTCAATACGTATTTGCTTCTCCAAAGTCTTTTGAATTTTAACAATGATCATATAGACAAACGATGTTTACAACATTGGTATAATGTTTAGTTTGTGAAGGACACACACTATTAAATAGAAGTGTATTTCGGCATAAACTAATTCCTCGCAATTTATAGGGCTTATCATAATTTATTGAGGCACACCTTGCTTCCCTTAATTATTGCAGCTGAAATTGTTTAGTTTCGTTCTCGTTAAACACACACTGATAGACACTGGAACTAATTTTCAGAGTATAGTAATGTTTTAAATTCGTATGTTTTGATCAGGAGTCATATAATCAACGCTGTTCAACTAAATACAGCTTTTTATGTCATGAATAATTTTTATTTTCGTTAAGAACACTTCATTATAAACAGTATAACCCATTTAGGAATATATTGGCTTGCATGAAGTTTAACCACCCAGTGTATTTCACCTAATTATTAAACACCCTAACGTTACCGGGAGAGTTAGGTTGAATTAGGTTACATTACGTGACATTAGCGTGGTTAAATAATCTTAGGTGAATTAAGGTGGTTGGTAAATCGTCGTGTGACCAATTATATTAATTTTGATAGCCCATTGAAACTGAAAATTTATTCTTTAATGTATATGTTATTTAGGTAAGTGAGTTGTGACGGAGCTGTATCATTTAAGTTTCTCTCATTTGAGCCAGAAGTTTCGTTTTAAATTAAATTAACCTTTCCCAACTCCTCGACCACAGAGTGACCATTATTGACACTCGATGTTAAACTTGATACTGTTTGATCTTAATGCAATGTGATTTTTTTTATTCCCGTTAAACACACACTAATGTTCACGGTACAGAACCTTTTGGAAACGAGTTTATTTTTCACAATTCTAAAGATGTAATAATGAGGGGTATAGTCGAGCTGTTTACCTACTCGAACACACACTTACTGTAAATACCGACTGATTTTTCACAATGCGTCAGTTGGAGGTAACGATATGTTTATTTTTCCCTCGATATTTTTTTTTCACAATATTTCGGATGATCAATGTGAATCAAACTCAGGTTATTTGTCTACCCAAAATACGGCTTAATTTACATTTTATTTGAACACCTGTTGTGTACAGTAATGACAGACTCAAACAACCACACACACAAGATTGATATAATCAAGTGTATGTCATGTCTCCCAGCTTCCTAATGAGTCAGGTAAGCATGCGTTGTGTACAATACCAATGGCCAGGTACGAACGACCAGGTGATAACTGCCAGGTACTAAACGAACAGGTACTGACGGACAGGCACTGACGGCCAGGTGCTGAAAGCCAGGTGTTCTTAACCTTTAATTCCTTCATCAAAATACAATTAGGTGTTCACACTAGTTTTATAAACAGTTCTGTCTCGTTTATTGTCTTACCTTGTTCCTTAGTAACTGATCACTCATGTTGGATGTTAACCACGGTCGTATACCTCCAGAGTGTGTTGCTATAATGTTTAATGTTGGATGTTAACCACGGTCGTATACCTCCAGTGTGTGTTGCTATAATGTTTTGTTTTAATGAATTAGCTCTTCTGAATTCATCGCGTGAGTGTTCTTTACACGCGCTGTTTAATTAAATACAGTTTTTAGTTCTAACGAAGGGTTTAGATTTCCTTCTCCTTAATCAACGAACGATACACCTGAGAATTTAATTTTCATTCTCGTTAATGAAACAATTTTTTATTTTGCTTTCAGTTTCGATAAACAATGGTCCTCGTTGATGCTAAGCTTTTAATCTCGTTAAACAATGGTATACGCTCATATTTAGGTTTCAGTCAAGTTAAACAGCGACTTACAATAAGACTACAATCTCGTTAAACAATGCGACACACAGATGATTAGTTTTCAGTAGAGCTAAACTATAGTGTGTATAATTTTTAGTTCAACTTTCAAACTTTACAAGAGATAAATAAGTATTAATTGTTCTGCTGAAGACAAGCAAAACCAACGAAGCAACTTTCGGTTTAGGTTTGATGAATATTAATAAAAAAAATCATTAGCTTGGAAGAACAGATTTACTATTATTTCTGTTGTTGTTATTGTCATTGTAGGATATTTGCACCGTTAGCCTTAACTGCATACCAAATGCATATATATATATATATATATATATATATATATATATATATATATATATATATATATATATATATATATATATATATATATATATATATATATATATATATATATATATATGTGTGTGTGTGTGTGTGTGTGTGGAATTAAAACATAATAATTTTCATTCCTTAATTACAGTTTTATATATACTGGGAGGACAAGATCAAGTTGAGTACAGACACAGAATAAATGTGCCCCAGGCAGTGATGACAGGCTGGGCTCAACCATTAGGACTGGGGGCATTATGATTTTTTTTTTTTACGGGGATTAGCCCACCCGGGCACAGGTCACTGACCCACATCGGGGCCTGGGGGGCGAAAATGTAATAATAATAATAATAATAATAATAATAATAATAATAATAATAATTGTCTACGACTCGCAACATGGGAATCTACGACTCGCAACATGGGTTTATAAAGGGAAACTCTTGTCTAACAAATCTGCTGACGTTTTTTAGGAAAGTCTTCGAGGTAGTAGATAATGACGAAAATTACGATGTTATTTACTTAGATTTTAGCAAAGCATTTGACAGAGTACCGCATCACAGGCTTCTGAGAAAAGTTAAGGCTCATGGTATCGAGGGGAAAGTTTTAAATTGGATAAAATCATGGCTCACCGATAGAACGCAGAGGGTCAGCGTAGATGGTGTTAAATCTGAGTGGGGCCGTGTAACCAGTGGGGTTCCCCAGGGGTCAGTACTAGGCCCACTCTTGTTCATAATCTACATAAACGATCTAGATACTGGGATCAGCAGTGACATAAGCAAGTTTGCGGATGACACCAAAATAGGGCGGCAGATTAATTCAGGGCAGGATGCAAATGCATTACAGGAGGATCTAAATAAACTGCAGGGGTGGTCTGAAAAATGGCAAATGAAATTCAACACCAGCAAGAGCAGCGTACTTAATATTGGAAGAACAAATACTGACAATGTATACAGCCTTAACAACATCAACCTAGAGAAGTCGACATGTGAAAGAGACCTAGGGGTACTTGTAAGCCCGGACCTACGGCCTAGAAAACAGTGCGTTAATGTTCGAAATAAGGCAAACAGAGTATTGGGTTTTATATCTAGACGTGTAAGTAATAAGAGTGCAGAAGTCTTATTGCAACTATATCTTGCGCTAGTCAGGCCGCACCTCGATTATGCGGTTCAGTTCTGGTGCCCTTATTATAGAATGGATATCAATTCACTAGAGTCGGTGCAGCGAAAAATGACGAAAATGGTTCCGGGACTTAGAAACCTTCCATATCAGGATAGGTTAAAGAAACTTAACTTGCATTCCCTAGAAAGACGAAGAGTGCGGGGAGATATGATAGAAGTATTTAAGTGGATGAAAGGAATCAATAAAGGGGATATAGATAAAGTTTTTATAATATCCGAGCAGGATAGGACTCGTAGCAATGGATTTAAGTTGGATAAGTTTAGGTTTAGGAGGGAGATAGGAAGAAACTGGTTCACAAATAGGGTGGTGGACGAGTGGAACAAGCTTAGCAACTTTGTAGTAAGTGCTGGAACTCTGGAAAGTTTCAAAAGGAGGCTAGATAGATTCATGGATGATAGAGAGTGGTAGTAACTCTCGACAGGAGCTACCATGCACAGGCCAACTGGCCTATTGCAGACTCCTTATTTTCTTATGTTCTTCTTTCTTCTTCTTAAATGAAAAAAAGATAAATAGTGAGAAACAATATACTGTATGTATGTTGTATTGTCAATAGTACGAGAAACAACTGAGACCCTGCAAGTGTGTGTAAATGAGGCAGAAAGTCAGATCAGCAACCTGGGACTTGGTCACAATTTACGTGATGCCATATGGCAGCAGGGTCTACCATTAGACAACACATTATGCTTCCAATATCTTCCCAGGCGGTAGTAACTCCATTTGGTAGCTGCCTACCACCAGTGGATGGGCTTATTATGATCGTTTAGATTAGATGACTGTGGTCACCAATCTTCAGATATGATGCCAATAATATGATTGGTTGATTAAGATTAGGATGTCAGTGGGACCGAGGTCCAAAACATTTAGGGATGGGACCTTCTAAGGACCCTTTGGATCAAGAACCCAATAGGAATTGGGGGATCTGGGTTAAATTAGGACTTGGATGCATCCATTTAGAAATGGAACCCCATACCCGAATGGTTAGGTTTAAGAGAAGTGGGCGCCAATAAGGCTGGGACCCTCCATTTCACCAGTCATCATCGTTTAACACCACACACACAGACACACACGCCAGCTAAGAAGACGAGGAAAGTTAATACTCACATTTTTTCTTCTGAAAGAGAAACTCTCCCTCGGTGACGGCGTGGTAGAAGAGGTTCAAGAAGAGGAACACACACATGTTCCTCTTGTTACGAGCCTCCTCGCCCATTTTTCCTCTTTCCCTTTCTTACACAGATCTCAAGATGCGAATATTAAGTAGTCGGAGCGCTTTATCCTGCTCCTGATGAGGACGTAGCGTGGAAGTTAGTCACCAGAGAGGGAAACCAGAGGAGTTCACATTTTTGCACTTAATTAACTGAAGATTTCTTAATTACTGTTTGTTTCTACTTATTTCTGGCTCCGTCTATCATTCTCCTACCTATGGCTTGTGCCGCCACTCCCCCTACCAGTCGTCCACCTACAGTATATAGAGCAGAGAGAGGAGAGACACACGATTTACTAACGACACTTCTCACTTCTTGTAATTCATAATATATTTACTTTTTCACAAAATTTATAATTGTTTTCATCATCAACACCGACCTTAACATATTACCGGACACAAAGATAAATAAGTTATTCAGGTGCAAAATTCTGTCTTGGTCATCGTTATCATAAAATATCTTACGATGAAGTCACACCTGCCTTTATTTCACACATTTAAAACTTTATTGCACCAGCAAACTCACACAATATTCACATGCAAAGCTTTCTGACTTTTGGGCACCTTTTTCAGAATATATGAAAACTTTTATTTAAGAAATTATCTCTCGGGAAAAGTCACGTCTTTCCAGGCGTTTTATTTTTTTTATTTTTTTCTATTTATTTCAGTCTAAAAATTCTGGGACGGCGTTGAAATATACATGTAGTGATGGGCCATTACGCTGGCCATTTAGAAGAGAATGAATAAGAAAACTTTTCACAACAAGAAAGGAATTATTTTTATGTATTTGAAAAAGTGTTTGAGAAGATGGTGGACTGTTTCTTGTCTTCCATCAAAACGTGAATAAAATGGAAGAGAACAATAGTTTCTGTACACTTCTCTATATATCCTTTACTAGGAAGTTGACAAAATAAATATTTGTTTCGGTGTAAAATTTGCTCGTGTTTTCCTTGTTAACTATATAATTAACAAGTGTTTTTCTTGTTAAATATGCAATTTACAACCATTTTCCTTGGCACCTCTATAATTTACAAGTATTTTCCTGATTAACTATAATTTAAAAGAATTTTCCTTATTTACGTTTTTATTTTACAGTATATATCCTGGTTTATAATTTACGTCTAATAGTCTAGTTTAGGTTTATATTTTACAGCGTTTTTCCTGTCATTTCCTTTATGTTTTACCTGTATTTTCCTGTTTAACTTTAAGTTGTGTTCACGAGTATTTTTCAGGTTTACTTTTATATTTTATGAATGTTCATATTGTCGATTTTTTTATCGGATTATCTTCATATTTTCTATTAATTTCTGGTCTTACCTTTATGAGAGTAACAGTGTGCTGGTTTACCTTTACACCTTACATGTATTATCTTGGTTCGGTGCGCTAAATTTTTCCGGCCACCAAATCTCTCGGATCAAGTTAGGTAAGCAGGTTTAAGTTAGGTTTGGTGAGGTGAGGTAAGCTGGTTTAACTTAGATTAGATGAGGTGAGGTAAGCTGGGTTACGTTAAGTGAAGTGAGGTGAGGTAAGGTGTTCAAGAGACGTAATATTTTGACAAAAGAACAAATATTTATGCCTGAAGGGATGGAAGAAGTTATTATGTCTACTTCCGTGTCTAAAAAAAATCATTTATGCAAAAAACAAGCACACGTGAGGGAATGAACCTAATTCACTATTTGAGAATAGAATAAAATGAAACAAAACTACCAGGCGAAAAGTCAACCACATGGAAATATGACACATTAACGTGCAACAGAACAGAAATACCAAGTAATCCCTACACATACTCATATTATACACCCAGTAGCTTTATTACACGGGGAAGTTTGGCACATCACACCAATTTATTTCTATATTTTACGTCAATTTTCCTTGAGTCTATGGAATATTTAGTTGAAAGCTTATCATTATAAAATATATTTTATCTATATTTCTACAGCATTGTGATATGTTGTTTAGTAGCTGAATGTTATTATGGCAGAGTTTATAAAACTATATTTTAAGACGATCTAATCTAACCGAACCTAACTGGTCGAAATAGAAATATTTTTGTTCAATTAATCTAGGTAAGGTTAGGTTAAGTTGGGTTGATGTAAAACAGAGAGAATGAACCACAGTCAACATGATGCAGTGGTCCTCTGTGCACTTCTCCATAATTACATTTTTTTTTTTAATTAATCTACGATCACAGAACAGCTATACGCACAGGTGATTTAGTTTCATTATTTCTAATTACTTGTTTCCTGTTTCAACTTATTTTGTCCTCCTTTGAGTTTACGAATAAAAGAAGTCAAGGCTTCCTTTTAATTTAATTAACGATATAATTACAGGTTCATTTTAATTTACGTCCTTAATAAGTTCAACCACTAATTAACTCACCATACTTAGTTTTCCTTCATAATGTATAATAATAATCTTTCCTCCAAGCTCATGAATTTTATTTTTCTGTTTTCAATCCATTAAAATTTTTTGCTCCTCGTTATTTCCTCTTCCTGATAAATCCGTAGATCACTTTAGTCATTTTTGCGTTATTTTTCGTCTATCTTCAATGTGGAAGTTGATCCCATAAACCAGATGACTCACCAGGAGCAGTGTTTGCTTATTAATCAGTTAGTTAGTTAGCGTCAGTCCTGCATTCGGCCAGCGTCGCTTCCTCACCTGGAAACCTACTCCAGGTGTCCATTAAAGTTAGCTAGATTAGAAGTGCCTTGGGGTCGAAACATTGATTCCAAGAACCGGGAGAGAGCGTTGTATCCACTCGGCCACCGCACCCTTCTTTTATATCCTTTATTCTCTTTATTCGTAATTTATATAAAGAATCGCGTAAGTTCGTTTAAAAGGTAAAGTTAAGTCTTAGCTAATGGCGCAGTTAACTTCCGATATATTAAATGCAAGTATATATATATATATATATATATATATATATATATATATATATATATATATATATATATATATAGTATATACTATATATATATATATATATATATATATATATATATATATATATATATATATATATATATATATATATATATATATATATATATATATATATATATATATATATATATATATATACTGTATATATATATATATATATATATATATATATATATATATATATATATATATATATATATATATATATATATATATATATATATATATATATATATATCTGTGTGTATGTATGTCACTCGCACATGTTCACACACACTACATCAATAATCTAAAACGTTGCTGCGTGCGTGGCCTTAATCTCACTCTGGAGGGGTTAAGGCAGGACAGTACAGGACTCACACACACTATGATGCTAATTGGAACTTAGATAAGGCTTCAATCCCCAAGAGCTTTAGATCACCGAGGTGCCATCTAGGTATTAAGCGTATCGTGGTATTCAGGTATCAAAGTACCATACTACTGCTCAATACCAGACTCAAAACATAGTATAAGATATCAAGGAAAGTATTCAAGGTACCATCATGGGAGGAAAGTATCAAGGTACCATCATGGGAGGAAAGTATCAAGGTACCATCATGGCAGGAAAGTATCAAGGTACCATCATGTTAGGAAAGTATTCAAGGTACCGACAAGAATCCAAAGTAAATAAATGACCAAGTAACAAATTATAAGTTTATTAAGATAAAGAAGTAGCAAAGTATAATAATATCAAAGTGACAAGGCATTAGGGTGTCAAAATATTCCAAAGTTCTAGGCAAACAAAGTATCAAAATAACAAGATATTACATATAAGTATCGAAATCTCAATCCTTTAAGATATCCAGGTTTAACATCATGGTATCATATGCGTATAAAAAAAACTTCAGAGTATCATGGTGTCCAAGTGTATAATATTAAGGTTTGTAAATACGAAGTAAGATTTTGCTTGTTTCGACACCAGGGTTGATGCAGGCGCCATTTAAAAAGTGGTAATGTTTCCCGCTGTGAACCACATCACTGCGGCAACAATTAACAGTACCCGGTGGTAGTTTCCTTGATAGCGATTGTAAAGCTCAAGTTTACAGCCGCAATTTCCTGGCGTCTACGAGCGCCCCGCTGCGTAGCCAGAATCTTTTAAGTATTGTAATTTTCCACTAATTTTCTCTCAGTGATAGTGTTATGTTGTCCACAAATACTCTGCGTCTATTAGAGAGATTACTGATTCCTTATTCTTTATTCAAGTTAAGTTTTCTTCATGGGTTAGATAGTGGCGCCCTCTGAAGTCATGATAAACGTTGTTTTACCTGTATGTTGCTGGTGAACGTAGTTAAAGTAAACGTTAAGGCTGTATGTTGCTGGTGATCGTAGTTAAGGTAAACGTTAAGGCTGTATGTTGATGGTTAACGTAGTGATGATAAATGTTAAGGCTGTGTGTTACGGGTTACCACATAGGACTCCAGAATGAACACCACCTAACCTCTGCATAAAACTTTGCTTGCATACAAAACACGAGCCAATATTACACGATGAAAATCTCCGCTATTAGTGAACAACATCACACCTCCACTGAGACAAATTAGCCCGAAACAGCGATACTTAAGTGTCAACAACCTATGGCTAATTAACATTAATTGGGGATCACCATTTTCTATTTCTTACAATATATCTTTAGTGGACATTAGACATTAACTTTTGTAGATACATTTATTATAATACTACTGGTTGGGCTTTACATTATAGGGGCGAACATTTAGAAGTGAATTGTCAAGTTTTTTCTCCAGTACAATACATATCTTCCGACAGTAAGTACTTTCTTTTCATCGCAAAATTTTCTAAACTCTTTATCGTTTCTTGTAGACAAAACTCGGGTGATGCTCGTAGTTATTAAGGTGTGGAAAATCTAGCGGTGTCATGCTGTTCGTTTTTGCCGAGTATAAAGTTGTGTCCATACAGGACGAGTACATTACTATATAATGCACTTACGGCTGATAGGATACTGCGAGACAGGTCCTGACCTCAATGGTCATTTGTCGAAATTAGGGATTTGTAATGGTGTAATGGTAAAGATTTCAGAGAAGAAACAAGATTCTCTACTCATATCATAATTCGTATGTTGTCACTAGGTCCAGGTTTCACATTCTGTGCACAATTGAATCAAAATCCATCAATTTCAATACATTACAAGCTTACTTCTTGTGTTCGTAGGAAATCATATACTGTTGCTACCTCTTTTCTGTCAGTTAAACGTTTGTAATTTGTTTTCCAAGCGGAACGTTTCACAGATTTCATCAATATAAAAACATTCGTTCCTGAAATGGTTCTCAGATCACGAAGCATCGCTCCAAAATACACAGCTTCACTTTAGCGTTAAACATCGATTACTTAGAGTCAATCATCTGAATCTTTATTTCTTGTACATGACGTTGTTGTGTTTCATCTTAACCTAATAAATCACTCCAAAAATGAGTCGCTAAATAATGTCGCTTCACACGGTACACGGTTTCACTTATAGCTCTAAAAATCGATTGGATTTCTAGTCACTAATCCACAACTTCATTTTTTTTCGTTTTCCGTCGAAACTGGTATGGTTTTAGTATTTGTGAGAGAGACGAAGACATAGGGACAAGGCTAAATTTGCATCTCTGAATATCATCACTCCACACACACACACGCACACACACACACACACACGGTTCACTTGAATATCCTTGGAAACCTATTTTCTATATATCCAGTGAGCTGTAACTTCACCTTCTTACACTTCCCTACGTTTTTCGTCGGGCCAGGTGGTGAATTGGTATCATTTTGCAAGGCTAAGACGTAAAATAAGAGCTGGGTGGTAAGAGCCGGCGGGGCCTGGTGTACGGAGCGACGGGACCAACACACTACGCCACCTCAACAGCCACTGAGGCTTCCAGCGCCCCTCACCACCTTCACCCACCTACCCCCCACACTCCGCCAGCGCCACCTGCACCCGCTTGCATCCACTACACCACTTCTTTATTCTATGTGGTTTGGGCTTTCAACCTCCTCCCGCCACTAACACCCACCTCCACCCCTTTTTATATTGGATTTTAGTTTTTCATCAACATTACTTCACCTCCAGTCCAGCAACGACTCCACTTATTTTATTTAATCACACACACACACACATTGTGTGTGACGCTAAATAGGGATAACTGCCGATTAGCTTGCAAAAGCAACTGACCATTTTGCTAAATAAGGATATTTTTCTATTGTTATAACTTAATGAAAAATAATTCGTATGTGGTAAAACTCAATCCGTTTCTTTTAATTAAAACGTTGTTCCCACCAAGAGAACCCCGAAGTATACCGAAGTAGATTAGGCTAGGTTACACATGACACTATAAATTAATACTGTACGTATTAGGAGTATTTACATGAACGTTTTTAGCCAGTCAGAAGTTTCTAAAAAATGAACGCATAGAAGTTTTTGCTATTAGGCAATTATCCCTATTTACTATAACACACACACACACACATGCACACTATATATAAGAACATAAGAACGGAGGAAACTGCAGCGGGCCTATTGGCCCATACTGGGCAGCCCCGTTTACACCCAACCCCTATTGCTCATATAAGCATCCAACCTATGTTTGAAGCTATTCAGCGTATTCGAGTTAATGATGATATTTGGTAACTTGTTCCATTCATGCACTACTCTGTTTCCAAACCAGTGTTTACCTATTTCGCTCCTAAATCTAAATTTGTCTAATTTAAAACCATTGTTACGAGTTCGCTCCTGGTTGGATAGTTTGAGTACCTTTGTAATGTCCCCTTTGTTTAGCCGTGACTTCCACTTATACACCTCTATCAGGTCGCCCCTCGCTCTACGTCTCTCGAGGGAGTGCAAATTAAGATGCTTTAACCTGCCTCTATACTCAAGGTTCCTAATGCCCGGGATTAGTCTTGTCATTCTCCTCTGAATTCTTTCCAATGATTCTATATCCATCCTGTAATACGGTGACCAGAACTGAACTGCGTAATCCAGGTGTGGTCTCACAAGCGCAAGATACAGTTTTAGGATGACCTCACTAGTCTTGTAACTAACACTCCTTTGTATGAACCCAAGTACTTTATTAGCCTTGTTACGAGCAAAAACACATTGTTTACTTGGCTTAAGGTTCCTACTTATCATTACTCCTAAATCTCTCTCGCAGTCGGATTTCTCTATGGCATCATTGTTCATCTGGTATCTGGTTTCCCTGTTTACATCTCCTATACTGAGTACTTTACATTTGTCCACGTTGAATTTCATCTGCCATTTTTCAGACCATTCGAAAAATTTGTTTAGATCTTCCTGTAGTTTTGCGGAGTTCTCGTCAGATTTAATAACACGTCCTATTTTAGTGTCATACCAAATTTTTGAGCATAATATTCTCCATTGAATTCAAATGGCAATGGGTAATCCACTCTCACCTGTATTAAGCAACCTATATATGGAATTCTTTGAAAAGAAACTATTAAGTAATATTTTACTAACTTCAGCAGTCTGGTTTAGATATGTTAATGATGTATTATGTCTCTGGCCATGTAATGAGGACCTAAAAGCTTTCCTGCCACAACTTAACAACTTTGCTCCCTCGATCAAATTCAATGTGGAATTAGAGCATGACTGTAAATTGCCATTCCTAGACTGTCTGATACACAGAATAGGTAACACTTTTAAGTTCAGTATTTATAGAAAACCTACTTATGTGTGTTCATACATTCATTATTATTCTGCCCACCATAATAGAGTCAAACAGTCAGTATTTTCAACAATGTATTTACGTGCTTTAAGAATTTGCAGCCCGGAATTCATTGATGAGGAATATAAATATATCTATAATATTGGCTCAAACCTTAAATACCCTAGATCTTTCATAGACAAATGCCTGAACATTACTAAGAAATCTTTTTATAGAACTGATCCCAAGCCCACCCATGACCATAAGAATCTCTTAGTATTACCATTTCACAAAAATTTCTCTCAAAGTCCTTTACATCTAAAAACCTGGAACGACAATGTGGCATTTAAAAACTCATGCACTGTTAAACAAATGTTAATCAAGAACTCCCCCAACAACACAATTGGTTGCATTTATACAGATCCTTGCAAGGAATGTAATATGTTTTACTTAGGCCAGACAGGTAAAGATCTTGTAACTAGACTTAAACAACATAAATATAGTGTTAGGACAGGCCAGGAATCCAATGCTCTGTTTGTTCATTTGAGGGATAACAAGCATTGCATTGACTGGGATAATGCCTCCTCAATATTACCTTGTAATTCAATTGACAGCAGGAACATCATAGAATCTAGTCTCATTAAACATACCGAAGCATTCAACTGAATTTGAGTAATGGCATGTACAAACTGGAAAATTTTGTAATTAAGAAGATTTGTAACCAGGTGAGAAGGTTGGGTCACCTTACCCTCTGACCTGACTAACGACCGTTGCGGTGCTATTTAAAGATTAGTAGGGTCATTACCTAATACCTGACCATTGTGGACCTGATCTCACCCTCCTCTGTTTATATACACCTTGTTTTGTACTTCTCTTTAGTCTGTACTCACCCCTGAAGATGTGAATTACACGAAAGCGCTTGGGAACTTCGTGTTTTCTTCTTTCCTTGTGGTTATCAGCATATACCTAGATCACGCGCACCTACAGTGATTTACTTGCATAAATATATATATATATATATATATATATATATATATATATATATATATATATATATATATATATATATATATATATATATATATATATATTTCATGTAAATCCACAATGAAAACGTGGATAAGATAAATCTTGATAAAATCACACGGGAAAATGGAAACATATATATATATATATATATATATATATATATATATATATATATATATATATATATATATATATATATATATATATATATATATCAGTACGTGTAAGTACTTATAACAATACACACAAACAAGAAATATGTCGCCTTGCAGAACTTATTTGTTCGTGAAGAATTTTCTAACACATTAAATCTCGCTCAGCCTCCAGCAGGGCTGTGTCCAGACAGGCTGGCGTCTGTCGCTCACTGAAAACAACTTTAAATTCTTTCGCAAAAATCTTCTGTTACATCAAAGTTTCAGTAATTTGGAAACGAATGAATATCTGGAGAGACCTGACGGGATCTGTCTGTCTCTTCACTAAGCACCACTGCCAAACTCATCAAAACAGGAGAATCATATAACTAACTTGTTAATTTTAATTTTCTAACAATTTATGATTGTTACATTAATTAATTTAGAATAATTTTTTTATGTTTCTGTAGTTCCTTGCATGTCCTCATTATATACTACAACAACTTAGTATAATAATGATAATTTGATTAAATCCAGACCAAAATGTGTTGAGTGACAGACAGTTACTGTTGTAGCATTAATTTTATGTTGCCGCGAAAGTTCCAAATGGGATCACAGCCCATACTTAAATAAGTGTCTTAACAAAGCCCAATATTTGGATGTATGGTGCTGGATCCATCACGCCTTGAGAACCGGAAATATGAAGAACGTTTCACTTTGCCTTCTTGTAACAGTCAGTGCATTGGTAAAGGATTCATTTTATGTTCAACTTGGACATCAACAACACAGCACTGAGAGGTTAATCCTTTTTCAGTGTTTTTTTTTTTTTTTTTTTACAGTAATCGAATAAATCACTCCTGGTCGTTAACTAACTGGGAAATCCTTAATTCAGGTGTTGTCAGGTCGATGTGATGAGGTCTCTTGTGCTCTGAGTGTCGAAAGTACCCGAGTTATTGAAGTACAGGAAACCATGTTCAAGAAAATTTTCTGTTTTAGCAGAGAAGGAATAGATGTTATAAGAACATAAGAAAATAAGGAGTCTGCAATAGGCCGGTTGGCCTGTGCATGGCAGCTCCTGTCGAGAGTTACTACCACTCTCTATCATCCATGAATCTATCTAGCCTCCTTTTGAAACTTTCCAGAGTTCCAGCACTTACTACAAAGTTGCTAAGCTTGTTCCACTTGTCCACCACCCTATTTGTGAACCAGTTTCTTCCTATCTCCCTCCTAAACCTAAACTTATCCAACTTAAATCCGTTGCTCCGAGTCCTATCCTGCTCGGATATTATAAGAACTTTATCTATATCCCTTTATTGATTCCTTTCACCCACTTAAATACTTCTATCATATCTCCCCGCACTCTTCGTCTTTCTAGGGAATGCAAGTTAAGTTTCTTTAACCTATCCTGATATGGAAGGTTTCTAAGTCCCGGAATCATTTTCGTCATTCTTCGCTGCACCTACTCTAGTGAATTGATATCCATTCTATAATAAGGGCACCAGAACTGAACCGCATAATCGAGGTGCGGCCTGACTAGCGCAAGATATAGTTGCAATAAGACCTCTGCACTCTTATTACTTACATTTCTAGATATGAAACCCAATACTCTGTTTGCCATATTTCGAACATTAACGCACTGTTTTCTAGGCAGTAGGTCCGGGCTTACAAGTACCCCTAGGTCTCTTTCACAAGTTGACTTCTCTAGGTTGATGTTGTTAAGGCTGAATACATTGTCAGTATTTGTTCTTCCAATATTAAATATGCTGCACTTCCTGGTGTTGAATTTAATTTGCCATTTTTCAGACCACCCCTGCAGTTTATTTAGATCCTCCTGTAATGTATTTGCATCCTGCCCTGAATTAATCTGCCGCCCTATTTTGGTGTCATCCGCAAACTTGCTTATGTCACTGCTGATCCCAGTATCTAGATCGTTTATGTAGATTATGAACAAGAGTGGGCGGAGTACTGACCCCTGGGGAACCCCACTGGTTACACGGCCCCACTCAGATTTAACACCATCTACGCTGACCCTCTATGCTCTATCGGTGAGCCATGATTT